GGTTTCTTCCCAGTAAACCGTAAATTCTTTGACGTGCTCAAGAATGAAAATTTACTATTAACGGCTTTGGCTGGGCTGGATGGTTGGGAAAAGGGTAGTTTGTAAAATAATTCTTTCCGGAGTTTATTCACTCTGTACTGGGTAGCTGAATATGACCGTTTTCTCGCAGAGCGCCTCACAGATTGAATCTTTTTACCACAGTATTGCGATGCTATCTTAGCATACTGACTGCTTGATTCTCCACGTTCCACTGTCTGAGTTTGTGATGCAGGCGGAGCATTTTTGTCTGGAAAATGCTTTCCTATCACAATGGGATTTTCAACTTTAACCTCATATTCAGATATATTTACAGTATCATTATTCTTAAGTTTATCAGACCAGATTTTGCTTGAATGAAGAAGTGATTCTGAGTTGAACTCCAACGTCTGAGTGGTTTTATGAATCGTTTTTTCTGCCAAAGATCTGTCGAAGATATTGGAGCTGGCATCAAACGACCTCGAGAGAGAGACCTTTGGGTCACTTAAATTCTTACTATTTGTTGCACCAGAGATGCTTTTTTCCGAGTTAGGGAATAATTTAGTATACTCTGTCATGGAAAAATCTACATTAGAGATGTCTTTCGCTTGAGCAATATGTTGCAGTTCCCTTGTTCCTTGCTCATCTGTGCATTTTAGCTTTAAGTTATTCTCTCTAACACAATTTGATTCCTTAGTGGTGCCTATTCCACACAGAGAAGGAATCCTAGATAATTGAAATGTACTTAGGAATGCAAGTATTTCAGAGTCCGGTGTAACAAGTGTAGCCGTATTTTGTGCCTGTCGTGGTGCGTTAAAAAGGGTTTTTCTGGGTTTTGGTTCGTGGCTGGAAGGAATGCTGGCCAAGGGTTGGTTCGTTGGTTCACTTAAGCACATTTTCTTTTGTGATTGGAATGTGTTAGACTTAAAATTAAGATCATTTTGGCCCAAAATGCTATACCCTGTCTTATATATCCCAGGACATGCTTGAGCTCTGACGCTTTCCATCATATGCATCGCAAGTGCATCTCTGTTTCCGAAATCATTGCCGCAGTTTATGCAAATAAATTCAGTGTTTACTTGACTGATTAACCCAAGAGAAGACTGGCCTCCTACAGTAATAAGGGGCGAAGCTCCATTTGGAGAAGCCATAGAAAGTTGATGAAGATTTCCAAAGCATCCTGTTTTTGCAACTAGAGCTGGCGA